CTTAGTGGCGCTCAACAAGTTAACTTTCTTTTTCCTTTGTTTCCTTTCTCATTTTTAATCGTAAGAGTGTTTTGATGTAATTTAAAGTAGATTTTGGACCGTGAACAGGTCAAACTACTCCTGAACTTACTTGAATTGGTTAATTCTTCAAATCTACTTCAGCCTAATGCCATAAGTTAAATAAAATTAGTAAAATTTATTTTAAAATCAGTAAGTATTCGATAATACAGTGAGCATATCTTTATAAACATTCTCATTAGTTTTTAAATAGACCTGCTATATCTGCTTTACATTTAAAATATCAAACAGAACGGAAAACAAAAGGAATTATTTTTAATCTAACTATTTAAAGTCAGACATCCGTATTTTTTACATAATATAAAAGTTTATTTTGGTTTACATTTTTTCGCAAACTAGATTAAAAAAAAAACTGGTAAATGCCATTGTTTACTAAACTTTCAACCTTTTTGTATAGTTTTTTTGCATATTCTATCCGCATCAACATTTTTTACTGCTGTGCATAAATAGGTTTTTTTCTCTTGATTTACAAACGGGCTAAACGCGAATTTTTAGTTTGGCTCCGCATTAAAACTATAAATACATCGAGTTTTATCTGAAACCATAAAAAATACAAACGCTACGAATAAATAGAAGCCGTTCGCGAATATTTCACGCCGTTAAGTGAAAATTGATGTTTAATACTGGCTGAACTGGATCTGTTCTTTGCGGATTATGCAGTTAACATGTCTTCGTAGATACATGAGCGGGTCACTTTAAAAAACGTATGCTCCAAAATATTATAAATATTTTTCTCATTTGTTGTAAAATGTCTGGCAACATTGTAAATAGTAAATGAAATGAACACGTAACGAAGCGAAACAATGGTTTTCTTGTTACAGTAAACGCCAAATCTAAAGAACCAGCGCAAATGCTCAAGTTCGTTTACTTAAAAATCGCCACGCCCATTCACAATTTGAACCTTGTCCTTGCTTACGGTCAGTAGCGTAACGACTAGATCATTTATTTGTTTCTTGTTTCTGTGTTTTGGTTAAAGTGACTGGTTTTATTTTTGATAATGTCTTCTATTGTGGGTGAAAAAAAAGCGCAGATCTGTTATTAACGGACAAAGTCGTAAGGTAATATACAATGTTTTTAAATATTTTGACGCAACAAAAAAGGAAGGAGTTACTTTGGATGATATCAAACTTCAAACTGCACAAGCAACAGGTAAACATACTCTGTAGTTTATTTGCAAATAAACTTGCGTAGTTTTCCATATTTTTTTGTATTTTACACACATATCTATGCATTTTATTTTTGATTAATATTTTATATTTAAATTTTTTAAATTTATCTTCTGTTTCTAAATTTTTTTATTTCTGACATTATTTATTTGTGATTTACTGTTTACGTTGTTTGTATTTACTTATAGGCTATATAAGTGGTAAGTATTTAATACCATTTAATTTTAATTTCTTGATAGTTTCGGCCTTTACTGGATGAAAATCTATATTATTAAAATGAGAAAAACCAAACATGGTAGATTTTCACACTTTTATTTAAAGAAATAAAAATTAAAAATTGCACGACAATTGTTTCTAAGTACAACTTCTTCTTTAAATGTGACTCATTTACATTTCTAATATATATACAAAATAAACTAATTAGGTAAAGTAGGTACTTAAGAGAAATATATTAATAAAATTCCAATAAGATATCATTACCGGGATTATCTCACAGAAAACTAAAAACGGATAAAGAAATTTAATTAGGCTCAGTTATTAATATCTAATTGATCACTTAAGAGGATATTTGAATGTTTAAATCTATTTATTTCAAGTGTTTCTAAATTGTTTAATTTAATGCCTTTATTCTCAAAATGTGAAACAATTTTTGCATAAACGATTGATTTTCAGATAAAAATATGTTTTGTAGAATTATTTTTGTTTTTAGTATAACTATTGTAATCGTTTAAATAGCTTTTTTTTTAAGTACGGCCGGTTTAACCAATATACAATTTTACCACAATTTAATTTATTTAAATAAGGATAATTTCCTAACAAAATTTTATATAAATACCGAACGGAAATCGGTAGGCCTTAACCTAAAGTCGGCTTACTTAAAAATAATGATTTTTTAATTGAAAATTATGTATTAATAATAACACTAAGCAATATGTATGAACAAGTATGATTCACTATTTTCCATTTATTTTATGTCTTAAAATATACGCGCCCCTGGTTTACAACTTTCTAGGTAAGCTACCAATTCTATTCATCGGTAGGCGTGTTCGTAGCATTATAAATGCGCGTCCTTGGTTCTTTAGATTTGGCAGTTACTGTACTACGTTCGAAAAGTACCTCCTGCAGCATAGCAGAGTAGAGCTAGAACATTTGCAGTGAAAATTCATTCAAGTCAAATCATGTTAAAAAACTACAAAGTTCATTTTAAATACCTTTTCATATTATTTATTATCTTACGTTAAATTACGAAATTTCTTTCTTTCAAAATATTTTTTTCCTTCCAATATTTCCCAATAAAATATATTGTTTATCGGATAGAAAGCCACTGATCCTTTTTCTAGAATTTTATTTTTGAATTTTGGTGCATTATTTATTTTAACTTATTAATTTTTAATTCATATCTTTCTAATTTTATCATTGATCTGATATAGTACCGATTTTTAATTTTTTTCGTATTTTCAAAAATGTGGCTACGCTATTTTTAGTTAAAAAACAGTTCAGTACAGTTTGTTTTATGCGACGAATTTTTTCTCTACACCGCCAATGCGAAAACCGGAGCCAGAACATAAAAGACAGCCCTTTTTATTAGATCATGACTTCGAGAGATCGTTTTTATTTCTCTTGTTTTTTATTTTATTGCGGGCCGCGCTTAAAATTACGGCCAATAATGGGATTTTAACGGTGAATAAAATAGAAGCAGCAGCTTAGACGAATTAGTATGAAATATAAGAATGTTTGTGAATGCAATCTTATGTTTTATGTCACTCTACGTAGGTAGAGGTTTATTGTTAGAATTTCGCGATTCTAGATAGTTTACCTTTTTATTGACTTTATACGAGTTTAAATAAATTTCATAGCCCTATTTTGAAAGTCTAAAGTTCCATCTTAGACAAAGTGAAGTTATGTTCATAAAGGAATTAGTCAATCCAACGTATTTAAAAAAATCCAATAAGGTCGACAATTGGTAAAGAAAACAAATATATCTTAACATTTTCATTATTGTTTTTATTGAAAATTTGTGAATTTCAGAACTATACGTATTAGAAGTGCAATAAATATTGAAGCAGCAAGGAAAGTAATTTAAGAACGTATTAATAATTTATTTTTTGTACTCACCCAATAGACACTTTTATTGTTATATTAAACTAGTTTATTCTCAATGTTTAATAAAAATTGGATTCAAATTAATGACATCTTTAATTATTGTTTCATCTTAACAAATTCACTGAATCTATCCACCTGTAAACAATATAGAGAGATGTTTTGGTTTGCGTCGTCAGTTTTCTTGTCTGGATCAAGCAAGTGTATTTTAATTAAGAGGTCTAATTGTGAACTGTGGGTCTAACTTCTTACTAGCTTGATGTTTCTAATGTATTGTAATTTTTAAATATACAGCGCGGTTATATTAAAAAAAAAGTTAGTGGTGCTAAATATTCTCGTTCGTTAAGACTAAATACAAACACATTATAAAAAGAAGACTTCATAATCCGTTTGAGAATTGGTATACAACTAGTTTGGGATTAGATATACGTAAAGTTTTCTAGTATCTACTTTGAAAACATTTTTTTGAATCACTATTTATTATTAAATGAAAACTTGATATTTTTCGCAAAGCGTCGACTTTTACTTTTTCCAGTTTTAAAAGTACTATAAAATTCCAAACTGGCTGTGCGCGATATGAAATTGTTATTACCTGGAAGACAAAACTCTGAAGGGTGTTTTCCCGTTGCGGATATACCGGAGTGAATCCACATCCACATCCCGCATGAGAGCGGCTGCTTTTTAAATATTTGTGCATTAAATTCATTTTTAATATATTTTATCTAGACAGTGACGGGATAAATGAGGGTAAATGACACTTCCAAGTCGAACCAATGATTGACTAATGACAAACTGACCTATTTGTCTCATACTTTGAATACTATACGGTGCAAGAAAGACGTCCGACATGTCTAAAATAGGGCGCAGCCATTTTGACGCAAACACTACTAGGTTAGGCAACACATATTTTTCCTAAATGTTAAATTGGTAGTCTACGTCTTGGTATTTTGAGATTTTAAATGAAGGCAACAAATGTAGAAGAAACGTTTATTTATTTTACCTTCTTTGAAGTAAAGTTATAATAACAAGTGCATCTTGAAATAGAGGTGGTTTTAGCTTATTTTTAAAGCTGTGCATATGATTTTACCATTATGATATTTTTCGCCAGTCCCATGCACATAAACAAACATTTATTGTATTTTTGCAACGTAATAAAACTCTTTGAGGCTAATATATTTTACATTTGCATTTAAATACCATTATTTAACACTCGCATGGTAAATGAATGGCTGACCTATTTCGATTACACCTTTAGTGGATTCATGAAACATGTCTCTGACTGTGATGTTGATATTTTACTTTTTGTCCTCTTTTCGCAAACACTTATAGCACCTGCCACGTTTTCGTAAGTCAGTTACGGCTTTATGATGAAATGGAGCAGCTATTTCAATACCACAATCTTACCATTTTTATATGTGCGTGAAGTATTTTATCGGTAGCTCGTTTATTCATATTTTTATTGGTTAAATCATCGGCTAGTTTTAGAAGAAACAATCGCCGCCTAGAGGAGCACTGCTTCTTCCAATCTGGGTGCTTTTCAATATATGTAACGAATGCGTTGGGGGTAAAAATATCTACTATATTCATAAATAGTCTAACTCCTCCTTTAATATCATTGTAATCTAGAATCATAAAAGGTTTTTTGTTGATTTCTAGATCTATACTGTCGTCATGATGTTGAGATGACCCCACTTTGGGATCTAAAGGTTAATGCGAAACATTTTATGTTCATATTCTAAGTTGTTTTTTATTTTAATTCTTTTCTTAATTTCAGAAAGAGACCGATACCTGCCTTACTCGTTTTCTGTATTTTCAGAGTTTTTATTGTTTTTATCTATTTTAATAGATTCTTCATTGTCAGTATTTCCAGTCTGTATTTTTATTTTCCTGCAGCGAGATATCACGCGATTTGATGAATTCATTTTAAATTTAGTTAAAACTAAAAGCTGATTTTGTCTAATACCAAATTCCCATAAAATTATAAGGTTGAGTCAATAAGTATTTTTTTTTTTTTAATGAGATATTTATAAGATAGCAGAACAATGTCACTGTAAAATAATAATAAAATAATTTTAAAATTGTTGCTAAAAAAATTTATGAGAACCATTTAAAACCATAATAAAACTATTTCTTATTGTCAATGTCAATAGTTTTTTAAACAGGTATACAACTTTTATAAAAATTCTATAAAATTCGAATAAAATACTATTATTAATGTTGTATAACTTTTTATATAACCGTTATAAAATTGGTATGAATTCAGAAATAATATTCTCTATAATTAAGTTGTATAATAATATAATACAATAAAATTTTACAACTTTTTGTGTGCAGAGACAAAATTGTTTTAACTATATACACCTTAAAAAAATTAGAGGTTCATTTTACTTAAATTTTCGGAAGTTATCACTTCGCAACAGTCAGAACCAAACAAAACTTTTTTACCACTAATCCAAAGTGGTTCGTATACAAAACGCGAAAAACTTCGAAAACCAATCTACACACAAAAAAAGAAAACTCCTAATACGACCACAAACAAAAATCCGGATTTCAACAACTCCGTTTCGCGAAAAGTACTTTTGATTTGTTATCCCGAAAGTCCATTATTGTCTATGGTGGAGCCTGCGGTATTTTGCAAGAATTCGCCGGCATTGTATTTTATCAGGAGAGGGCCCAATAAATAAAAGAGATCCGTGTCCGAGGAAGTAAAAAATAGGACAATATAGTTAGCGGCAGGAGACTGAGGTTTATGAGGTCAGAAAAAAGGATGTTATACAATAGGAGAGATAAAAAAAGAATTTGAGAAACCACTTACGTATTCTAGCTACGTAAAAAGCAATAAAAATACAGAGTAGGTTTAATACATAAATTTTACCGTTTTATATTACAATAACACTTTAAAAAAAAGTGGAACAATTATTCAGAAGATTATGTTATAAAATTATACAAGGGTCAACCTCTTTATTAGTTTATAGACATTACCGCTATTAAATATATGTATTAGTTGTCCTTAACATTATTATATTTTTTTTATATATTTTGAGCATGTTGAAAATAGTGACCTTTGTATTGTACTTAAATATAATATATTGGAATTTCTGATAAAGAATAAGTAAATGACTGCAATCTATTTTAATGTTATGTTTTTCGGTAAATATTAATGGATAAATTACTCCAAATGTACTCCATTTTTTATAAAATAAACATTTTTTTCACAAATGTGCTCTATTTTTATCAATTGGATGTTTTTTCCAACTATTTAGGAATGTAGTTTAGTGGAAGTTACCCTTCTACCTGCCACCTAATGTCTCTTCATAATTTTTTAAATGTTTGATTTATATTTAACAAAGTAAAAATGTGTGTTGAAAGGCAACAATGTTACACAAAAGTAACAAAATTAATAATTTAATAAGGATTTGATATAGTAATTTAATTTTAAATTTTCAAAAACCATACAAATAACACAATTTTAAAAACTGTTTCTTTGAATTTAATAAATTAGAAATAAGCCCTGATTTAATGTAGGAACGAGTTAACCGAAACTGTCCGGTACTGGCGAGGGTACTGGAGACTGTCCGGCGCTTGGACAACTTTCCCTAAATTGCCGATGAAGTTATATTTTAAGAATTTTGCCTTTTCTTAACTTTTTTTTTTAGCCGATACTATTTAATATTGTCATGGGAATGCCTAAGCCGTCCCTATAGAGCACGAGCTTGAACAGCCAACCGACTCATGATCGAAACACCGTTAAGATGTATAGAGACAAACACACTGCTTCTCGGGAATTTACTAGAGAAAGCAACGCCTGTCATGGCAGAACCTTTAAGGTGCAATGAAGGTATTGGTCAAAGAACTCTGATTGGAAACCAGTTGGCCACATCTGCTAAAGCAGTTACATTACGAAGAACGTCAGTTATCAGCGATGAGTGGACCCTTGTCAAACTTAGGAAAGAAAAAGAAAACTAATCCGTTTTAAAGCAGATGCGACAATGGAAAGAGGCAAATCGTCGACCTAATTGGCAAGAAGTTTCAAAACTCTCTCCAATAATGAAATCATATTGGGCTCAGTGAGACTCCTTTATCTTTGAAGATAGCTTATTAAAGCGAGTACTTAAAAATGATTATGGTTCCGAGAACAAAAGACAGTTGGTCATTTCAAGGGGAGAGTAGCCGAAGTACTTCGTTAGTTACACGACAGACCATTAGGAGGGCTTCTCAGTGTTAAGAAAACCGTTCAGAGAGTACGGGAAAGGTTTTACTTGGATGAATAGTTCCGATGATGTAAAGGACTGGTGTAAGAAATGTACCAGCTGTACTGTGAGTAATGGACCTCAGCGAAAAAGAAAAGCTCCCATGAAGCAATACAACGTTGGTAACCCATTTGAAAGGAGCGCCATAGATATTGCTGGAGCATTCCCTATGACCGAGAATAGTAAAAAATACATGATGGTGGTTATAAATTATTTTATGAAGTGGGTGGAAGACTACGCCATTCCAAATCAAGAGGCTGCAACTGTTGCAGATGTTTTTATAAAAGAGTTTATCTGTCGATTTGGAGTACTCTTGGAGATCCACAGTGACCAAAACAGAAATTTTGAAAGCCTTCCGTGGAATCTGACAGACTAGGCATGAAGAAAACCAGAACCATAGCATTGCACCCACAATCCGATGGAATGGTAGAGCAAATGAATAAGACCGTCGGAAAATATCTGTCAAAAGTGGTTTCGGACCATCAGCGAGATTGGAATCAGTATCTTTCGCTCTTTGCAATGGTTTATAGATCCGCTGTCAATGAATCAATAGGCCAAACACCAGCAAAGGTCCTGTTTGGGCGTGAAATGAGACCTCGAGTTTGGATGCCGACTTGGACAAGATGTAGCTGGTGAAGATTTTGTGATCCAGTTACAAAGAAGAATGGACGATATGCATAAATTACTCCGCTCGGATCTTCAAATTTCCAGCGACAGAATAAAGAAGCGATACGATACCTAAGACACAGAAGGATGTTTCAAGGAAGGCGACAAATTGGCTCCATAACTCAAAAAGACAAAAGGGTTATTCTCCGAAGCTTCAATGGTTTTGGGAAAGTCCGTACCTCATCAAGAAAAAATCAATGATGTCATTTACCGTATAAGTAAAATTCCGAACGGTAAACCAAAGGCAGTGCACCAAAAGCGGCTATTTCGGAAGAAGTTTGATCGATTGTTAGAACTTCAAGATCAGTTACCAGCTCCTGGAAAATCATTGAAACTTCACGATGGATCGCGTTATCTTTTCTATTTGGTAATAAAAAACACCTTCAGAGGTCGATCCACCTATCATAATGTATGGGAAGCATTACTCAGTTTAACTATGCCAAGGATAGAGAACAACCAGCTGAATTGGAGGATCATTAGAAACATGGTGTAAGTAATCTTCCAAGATTCCCAGGTTGAAATACTAGTCTACAGCCATTTTTCCAGCGTTCAGGTTATGGCAAAGACTGTCCCTTGTTACTTCAATGCAATTGGAAGTTGTAAAAGATGATCCAGTTGCAGATACAACCATTCGGTTTTAGTTCCAGGAGGAACTATTTCTTAAGTATTGGACAATGTCATGGGAATGCCTAAGCCGTCTCTGTAGAGCGCGAGCTTGAACAGCCAACCGACTCATGATCGAAACACCCCTTAGATGTATAGAGACAAATGCACCGCTTCTCGAAAATTTACTAAGAAAAGCAAACAGACGGAATTTTTGGGTGACACTCGAAAGCGTCTGGAAAGACCAGAGTATTCTGGTTACAGAGTTGGCTTGATATAAATATCGCGAGTTTGAAGACGGAAGTGTAGTTATAAATAAAGTATTGCCAAGTTATTAGATTATTACTAAAAAATAACGACAAAAATCTTGAAAAAATGTATTAAACTTATACATATAGGTACAAAAATAACTTATAAAACATAAAAGAAACTCTCAAAGGTAACTCAGGTAACAACTTAAACTTAGGTAACTCTTAACTTAATTAACTTAATCACTAGGTATGAAGTCTTTGTCTTCCCTAGAATCACCTTGATATTCCAACGGTTCTGATGCATCTGAATCGTCATTGTAATCGATTTTAAAATAAGGATCTTTACTTCCATTGTTGAATGGACCACATATCCACTTAAGGCACTGGATTCATTTAATCCAATATTCTCCGCTATGAAAGTCTTTTCAATTACAAAAACAAAGGCCACACTTTGCATCTGTTTGACTTTTCGCTTGTCTTTCACTTTTTTGTCTAGGCTAAATTTCATATGTTTCGGCAGTTAATTTTTTTGACATACCCATTTCAATAGCTTCTATGACTTTTTCCAAATTTTCTTTAGAATAAGCTTTGCCCCGGGGGTTCTTTGGTACTTTCTTACCGTTTTCACTGACTATTTACTTAAAACAAACGAGAGGGATTGAAAATCCACTAAAAAAAAACAGCCGGATAAATATGAACAAAAACAAAAATTACGTCATATGTCACCCCGGAGTGACTAAATTGCCCCCAGAGTATAGTACATTATGTACATATTTTGTATGAAAATAAAAAAGATAGTAAATTAATTTCTTTTAAAAATAACGATGATTAGATATAGATGGTACAAAATAAATAAAATTAACTATGTACCTATTTTGACCGAACATGTCGAACTTAAAACCATAGGTTGTTCGGTTGTCCTTAAATTCGACATGAAGTTGTGTCCTATTTGGAAAAGTAAAATAACGAAAAATTGTAACATATTTAATTTATTAATACATTTGTACTATAAAACAATTAGAACATTAATTTGTCTCATGCAAACTTGTTGTTGGAAAGTTTAAAATAATGCGTCCCTTAACTTATAGCAAAAGTTACGCTGTAGTCTTATTCACTGATATAGCAGCATTGGCAGTTTTTTAGGTTTCTGAATTTAAGTCCTATCCGTCAAAAATATTTAGGCGATTTTTAAAAATTCCCGCCAAGGGTTAAGACCAATGATATCTTTAGATTTCATTAATCTTACACACACGGGTTCCTTATTTTGGAACGATTTATATGAATATGTCGAATTTTGGGTAGGTTCTTAAATAATTGGGTTGTCCCAATAATCTACTGCGCAAAATCCTGGTGTTAGTGACTGGTTTAAGATCGTTATTGGAACAGATCTTTAATTGAATATTCATGATCATGAAAATGTATTAAATAAAATAAACGCTTATGAATTAGGGGCCTTGGAGAAAGATGTAATAACATTTGATAAAAATCAATACGTTTTTTAACAACTTAAACACATTTGGGCAAAATAAATATTTTAATAACTTTGGAACTAGAATTTCAAATATAATACCAATAAGAACAATCTACCTAAAACTGTATTAATTAAATTAAGTTTCGCATGATCTACAGACTAGAAAACGTACTTGCTGTAACTACTTACCAACTAATTGAAATTCTACAAACTTAGGAGAATTAGGTGTTCAAATTACTACGTGAATCAAAGGTCGTCTACATATTATTCCAATTAGTATTCAAGTTAGGGCTTCACCTTCTTACTAAATTTCTTGGCAGATAATGCTAATAAGTTGTTGCAATGGTTCAAATGACTGCATGTTCGGGTATAAGGTTAAATTAACCCCACTGATCAATAGTGTCTGTAATAGTAAAGATAGTAGATATATAAAATGGCACAGAACTTGAGATAGGATATCAGTTTTCAGTTTCTTCGAAGTAAGCAACATAAGAAAATAATATTCAACATGATGTTCAAAATCGTAAGTAATTATAATCATTTTTTTTTGTTTTTTAAAAACAGTACCTAGTATTTTTTTATTTTGTGATAATAATTATGGAATAGTATCATTCTTATAATATTTATTATTATGTTCTTTAAAAGTTACATCTATTTACATTTTTAATTTTAATTCCAATAAATTAAATATACCATATTATGTAAAATAATTAACAATATATGAAAGTGGAAGATAATTTAAAAGGTATACTATTCTTTTAAAGGTTTTTAAGAAATAATCCATAACAATTAACGGTAGTTAACTGGGTTTCCATTGGGTGAACTTTTTAAAAACACTTTATTTAATTGTAATTTTAAATTATTCACTAAAAATATAAGAACTGGTGTAAGATGATAAATGTAGCTCATCATGTATGAAATTTTTAATATTACTTAATTGGATTTAATTTAATAAATTTTTTACTCCTAAATATTAAAATTAAGTTTAAACACTCTAAAATTAGTACAATTGTTAGGGGTCCTTTCTAAGGATAACAGGCTGAATATATTTTCTTCGTACCTATGTGTTAATTTTTTTAAAAATAAACTTGGTAGAGCTGCTTAACATTATATAACTCTGTGTTACCAATTATAATTCTTACTTATAAAGCTGTTATTTTGTAATTTTATATTAAAAAATGTTCACAAAATAAGAGTAATACAAACAAGTGTAATAGATACTAATTATTTTACATATATGCAATATTATTGTTAGATATTTAAGCCATGTTGCTAACCATTAGTATTTAACGTTACTATTTAAGCCTTCTTTTATGACCTAGCAGGCTTGCGAGTGAAGCTAATAAAGATGGAAAGTTCAATAAGGCGTATTCTATACATTGTTTTATGTTAAACCTATTAAAAACAGTATAAAACTTGTCAAATTAATCCATTAATAGAAAAGTAAAAATTAGTTCTGATTTATTTGAATAAGTAAATTTTTGGATGAAAATCTACATGAATTTTTTATTTATTATTTCGTTTATTTCTAGTGCTTGGTAGGCGCTTTTCTAGCCCTTTCAATCGCTACCCCAGTCCCAGAGGCTAATCCGGAACCAAAACCTGAAGCCAAACCAGTAGCTAACCCTCAATACTTAGCTGCCTATGCTGCTCCTGCTGTTGCTTACACATCTGCCTATTCAGCTGCTCCTCTAGCGTATTCCAGCTATGTAGCGCCTTCTGTTTATGCTGGTGCTTACCCATACTATTCTCCGTATGCTGCTTCATACGTTGTAGTTTAGAGTCGTTAGTGTTTATTAATTTATTTGTAATTTATGACAATTTGAATAAAATAATTTAGCAATTATTATATTTGAGTATAATTTAAAATTTAAGCTATGGTTATGACTAGGTTGAATGGAAATCAATTACTTATATTAGAAATATCAAGAGAACTAGAACTTGTAGACGCTGAGTATCATCGTCATAGAGTTGCAGTTGTATTATTCGTTTGTATTCTATGGCAACTATGAAATTTAAGTATATAGACCATCGAATAGTTACTGATTTAGGTGCCCCATTTTTGCATACAAGCCGCGAAGAAGGCCATTTTGGGAATGGAAAAATTAACAGAATTTTTTTCGATTTTTCAGTTATTTTCCCATCAACGAAATGTGTTACAATAAAAACTTATGAATTTAAGAGCCCATTAAAAAATAATGGCTTGAATGTAAAGCGTGGTCTTCAAATTTTCAGAACTAGGAAAGTTGCTGGAAAAATGTATGCAAATTTCAACCATTTTCTCACGCAAGCGGTTTGTATGCTTAAAAAAAGTGATTCTAAAACAATATAACAAAAGGCTTGAGTACCGTTCATGAAGCATATTATTTACGTAAACAAGAGCTGATAATAAATTTACAAATAATATTTATGCAGGGTTATTATTATTTATTGTTCGGTGATTATTCGTATACTATTTTAAGTTTCTCTAATATTTTAACTTTAATAACATCGAATATATATTATTCAAGGAAAGTGATATCTATCTTTTATATTTTTAGGTGTAAATTTTAATATGAATTTTGTGCTGAAGTAACAATAGGTTATTAGTACAAGATAACTAATTTTAAAATAATTTATGACTTTCAATAATTTTTAAAATAAAAAAAAAACGAAAAAAAAGTTCATTTTATTTTCCCCCATCCGAGAATCCGGAACCACTTATTCTTTTATTTTTGTTGTTTTAACACTCGTAATTAGATTGACTATATATAGTTTTATTTAAATTAACAAATTATTTATAATTATAGACGAAATGCTATTATTTATTGATAATTAATTTTAATAAATGTTTAATCTCAATAACTAAAAAATATACTGACAATTAGTTTGATAGAATTGTAATTTATTTAACATTTTAAAAATAATAGCAGTCGGTTGATCAAAATAGGAACGGTAATTGGTGGATTTCATTTTTTTTGTAGTGTTCTCACTACCTACAATGGATATGAAATATATTCGTTCAGTTGAAGGCAATAGCATACTTTTTCGTGTTGTAGATAAGCTAATATCTATGTGGGCGTATAAAAAAGTAATTTAATAATGACAATCAAGTATTTTATGGCCACTTCGTGAAACCATTTTGAATTGCATTAATATAAGATACTTAAGCAATGAAAAATGTCATGGGATAAATCTTTTGACAGAAAAAAATGATTTTCTTGAAAAATGTTGATGCACCTATGGTTTTTAATTATATGTAAAATTGTATAATAACATTACACCCTCGTAAAACAAATACATTAACAAACCCTTCTATAGAAGGAAAATACGAATGCTAAAATCAATCTTGCTGCTTCGAAAATAGAGCACACAATTTTACGTTTTCCCTTATCTCGACAGTTAGGTGAGAAAGTTATAAAACCCGGAGATTTAATGCTCCTGTGATACATATTTTTATATACCTACAACAGGGCAATCGTAAATCATTTTTCTTGCTTTCTTTCAATAAACAGATATATTTTAGTATCTGAACCTTTTATCGTTTTATAAGGAGGGTCAAATCAAGGAGTTCATAAAAAAATGAACAGTAACATTTTCTTGCTTCACAATTTTATTTATATCATCATAAATTACAATAGTATATTATATTACTAGGAGTAGAAGAAGCTTAGTGAGTGTTGAACTCAGAAGTTTACTGCCAAGGCGCTAGCCGAGGCAGTGTAATCTGAGCGAAACACATAATAATGAAGCCTTCTGCTCTGAGTAATATATACTAATTTTTCTTCAAGCGTAAAGATAATTCAAGTTATACGTATCCAAAAATAGAAGGTACTGTTTATGTCTCAACTATTTATTAACACAATTGAAAAAAAATTAAAAAAGAAATAGATATGTTTTACATAAGTATTACCTATTCTTATTTATTAATAGTAATATTAAAGGTGTAGTTTTGTGTACTGCAGTTATTTATACTTGGGCCACTGCCACCGCTTTCGGCCTTGACATTCACAATTTTGTCATTGGTATACATGTTATGATTAGTTTCTCATTATTATTTTACTAGTACAATAATGAAAATTCATTTTTGTACTAATAAAATAATAGGATATTTCTACTATCTGTGTTATAAAAAGTAATATAGTTATTATTATACACTTGAAGAAAAAATAAATAACTTATAAACAGATCTGTATATAATATTATATACTTGGACCAGTGATGATAAATAAGGTGAATAATAAGGCTATGTCCCAGCATAGACACTGATTAAGTGCAAAAGGATATGCTATGATTATACTAACAGTAGCAGCACATTTGCATTACACTTTTACGTCATGTATCAAATTCGAGCTAGTGAAGCTAGTAAGTTTTGTTGAAAATAAATTCAATTTTTTTTAAATGAATTTAAATGATATAAAAACATTATCATTCTGTCAATTTTTAAATATAAAATTATTGGCTTCAAATAAATAAAAGTACAACTGTAAGTCGCCATTTTGATTACACAGTCTTGGCATCGCTAACTGCGTCCATCTGTCCATCTGCCATAATAGTGTTTATGTCGCCGCTACTTCATACTATCTCAAAAATTGGGTGATACATAGCTGGAATAGGCGCAAGTGAGTAGTAGCTGTATAGACTGAGGTGTAGGCGATTCCTGAAACAGCAACTATAGAAACAGAGTAGGCAAAAAATTAAGGTTGATGATAAGTTCCCCCTCTAAAATCATACACAAATATATTAATTGCTAAATTATTTTATTTAAACAGTCATAAATTACAAATAAATTAATACACAAAAACGAGTTTAAACTACAACGTATGATGCAGCATACGGAGAGTAGTATGAATAAGCACCAGCATAGACAGAAGGTGCTACATAGCTAGAATACGCTAGAGGAGCAGCAGAATAGGCCGATGTGTAAGCAACAGCAGGAGCAGCATAGGCAGCTAAGTATTGAGGGTTGGCTTCTGGTTTTGCTTCAGGTTTTGGTTCCGGGTTTGCTTCTGGTAATGGAGAAGAAACGGCAAAAGCTAGAATAGCAGCCATCAAACACTGAAAAAATATAAATTGTTAAATTATTCGTTTAGTAATTTCTAATATATAGACCATATAAGGGAAAAGTTTTGATATTAAAAACCAAACAAATCAATCTGCGCGAGTTTAATGAAGTGTTTCAAAAAACAAGCTTAATTTTTTTGAAGTTTCGAAATCTGTAACATTTTATACTTGTAGTGTTATAATATTTTCGATAAATTGCATTATAAAATTTTCTAGAAAATAGATTTGAATTGCAACGAGTTAATGTTTAGATTTATAAAGATTCTCTATTAAATATATACAAGTAAATATCTAAAAAGTACTTTAAATAATAGTTTTTATCGTAGATGCAAAGTAAGTGTAATTAAATTGTCTGCTCATCTGATTTGAATCCATTGTATTTGTAGAATCATTTCAAAATTGGGGTATATTAAGATCAGTACAATAATTTAATATATTTTAAAATTAAAATCAATATAGACTTGGTCATTAGTAGTTGATGGGAAACATTTAATAAGGTTTTTTTTTTATTATACAACTAAGTACAGTTTTTATTCTATAATCAGCTACTTGGGCATCAAATAGTTTTTCTTATTTTATCTCCTGATATTTGAAAAATTGAACTTACATGATTACGTGCTTTTTAATGTAATAGGACTTTTGCCTAACAACTTTTATCTATATTTTTTTACCAATAATAAGGCTGTTTTATGACTTTACCCTACCCTGTATGTAGGCAGTCGGTGATAAAAAAAAAGCATAAAAGAATTACAAATACATTTATCCACGTCGCTGATATTACTATGATATATACAAACAATTTTTTTTTTAATATGATTTAAAGTTATTAAAAATATTACTTACGATTTTGAACATGTTGAAGTTGAATAAGTTTTTTTTAACTGTTGTATTAGGCAAATGAACTGAAACTGATATCCTACCCCAAGTCTTCCATCAATTTATACTTCTTTTCATTACCAGTAGTCTTTAATGGGGTTAACCATATACATGCAGTTATTTAAATTACATAATCTAATACGAAGTTTGGTAAGAAGGTCAAGTTTGACTTCACATACTAAAACATTTTTCAGAAATAAATTAATACAAAAAAACAATTTGTTATGGATGTAAATTTTAAATGCATAAAAATCAAAACTGTACTATTTTTGACAGTAGATCGAGAATAAAAAATTAAATATAATACCCCGAAGAAAATAGAAGAAAATAAAAGAAAATAGAAGAAAATAGAAGAAAATAGAAGAAAATAGAAAAAAATAGAAGAAAATAGAAGAAAATAGAAGCAAATAGAAGAAAATAGAAGAAAATAGAAGAAAATAGAAGAAAATAGAAGAAATTAAAAGAAAATAGAAGAAAATAGAAGAAAATGGAAGAAAATAGAAGAAAATAGAAGAAAATAGAAGAAAATAGAAGAAAATAGAAGAAAATAGAAGAAAATAGAAGAAAATAGAAGAAAATAGAAGAAAATAGAAGAAAATAGAAGAAAATAGAAGAAAATAGAAGAAAATAGAAGAAAATAGAAGAAAATAGAAGAAAATAGAAGAAAATAGAAGAAAATAGAAGAAAATAGAAGAAAATAGAAGAAAATAGAAGAAAATAGAAGAAAATAGAAGAAAATAGAAGAAAATAGAAGAAAATAGAAGAAAATAGAAGAAAATAGAAGAAAATAGAAGAAAATAGAAGAAAATAGAAGAAAATAGAAGAAAATAGAAGAAAATAGAAGAAAATAGAAGAAAATAAA